CTCTCTCAGCTGAATACATATTGGATTGGAAATTGATGACCATCTCAGAAAACACATATTCATTTTTCTGATGAACAGGTCTTGTGGTCTCTAAGCCAGACCTGGTCACGTTTCTGGAGCAAATGAAGGATCCCTGGGATGTAAGGAGAATGGAGACAGCCATACACCCAGGTATGTGTCTATGGATGAAGCAGATAACTCCGGTGAGAAGCACCAGCATTGGGGAGGAAGTTATACATTGTCGTGTGGTTTGAGAAGATCTGCTTCAGTGGAGATGATTTCGGATTAGCCTAGGTTTATTTCTGTCACTGTCATAGAGCCTCCTCTCCTGACCCATTCCTGATTCTTTTTATCATTTGTGTGTTTTTCTCCAGTGATTAATTTTCACATTCAGAGTTAGAACCAAAATACTTGTCTTGGCCTGGAACAACCTGCATGACCTGATAACTCGTCCATTTTGGGGAGGTTTTGGAAAATCTGCATATTTCTGAGTAACTATATTAAGCCCTTTTAAAAGTGCTGATTCTGTACCAAGTTAGAAGTGTGTGGGTGGAGCTGTGAAAAAATTGCCAAACTTCTAGGAATACTGGGGACAGATGTTTTTTGTTCTCTACCATATAATTTCCAGTCCAGTGGAAACTACACATGTGACCTTAGAAATATCATACTCAAATTCTTTCTTCACTGCATTGTTATCGGCACACCTTCCGGGAAACAAACTCACTCAGAAGGACAATGCAGATAGTGGAGTGCAGTTTATTACACTGTTCCTCCCAAGGGAGAGTCTTCTCTTAGCCAGGGGCCCCAACCATCATTTGTGAAAATCTTTCATACCCCATGTGTACGTGTCCAAACCCACCACCCCAATCCCTGACGCTTACAAAGGAAGGGTAAATACAAGCACAATAACCCCATCATTCACGTGTTATATCTTCAAACAGTTAATAATCATTAAGCCCACGGTTACATTCCAACCAGTTAATAACCGATAACCTGTGCTTACATTCTGACAGATAGTGTCCGGAGGCAGGGGTGATTAGTGTCTGTTCTCTCTTAGGTGATGAGTAACCTGGATATGATCTTCAAGGTTCCCCTGTCTGGAGGGGGTCTTATCCTTCCATTGTCATTCCCACAGGCACTAAGCAGAGAGTTCATGGTCCATTGGAGAGGTGGCCGAGCACGATCAGCACAGACAGGCCTGAGATGGAGTCCAGGCCCTATGAATTCCTTCTTCACATAAGACACCTCACTAAAATGACAAAATGAAAATCTGAATTTTATGTTACAACTTGTCTTTTTTTATATGAACTAACATTAAATGTGTTAAGTATATTTGTCCCAATTCATTAATGCTAAAATGCTTTAATATATGTATTTAACTCACAGAGTTTTTAAAGAAATTACTCATGTGGGAGTTTAGAACATTTCCCACAGTGCTATTTTCTGATTGTTCTTCACTATTAAGCTTATAGATTAGATAGAGAAATCTTTAAGAAGAATTTTTCCGTTCCAATAATGCTATTTTACAATGTTATGTGAGGTTTACAATGTTATGTGCATATGATAAGTGATACATATACACATTTCCATTCTTGAGGAGATTTCCTTCCCGTCAGGTCACCACAGAGCATTGAGTAGAGTTCCCTGTGTTCTAACCATATTTTTCAAGTCTCACTTCTCATTTGATTTGTTAAGAACTCTTACCTTATTAAATCTATCTTGCTTGTTATGAAACATCCCAGGACTTTATCATTCATGCCATCTATTTCTGATTAGCTCTAGGTCAATAGCATTTACTATTTTACACTCTATCAGAACATGCTCAGATAACAACCTGAGTGGTAAGTGGGTTAAATAATTAGTAGGCATTAGCATTTGTGAAAACGTTTTGTTTGTAAATTTGATTACTTAAAGCAGAAATTACTCATTACACTGCTCAACTTCTCTTTGCTTCATTGTTCCTGTAGGTTTCTATCTTGACTTCTCCTCTGCACCATACTCCTTTGTCATCTCATCTTGTCCAATGTTCTGTGTTTGTGGTCTCTGTTCTGCAGGCTGCAGATCCTAGTTCCTCTTGCTCTGGTGTCTGCCCCTTGGTGGGTGAAGTGGTCCAGAGACTTGTGCCCTTATGCCCTTGAGAGGGGGTTGATTGTTACTATTGTGACCAGAGCCTGCCTGGATCTTGAGGGCCGCTTCGCCTTTCCTCTGTGGCTGTCACTGTCTGTGGCGGGGTCTGCTTCCTGATTGGAGGAACAGAGGCCCCAGATCTGAAATGAGCTCTGCTCTGACCTGTGGTGCTTCTGATCTAGTGGGACTGGAGCACACCCACTGAGAGGGAAGCCACTGAGTGTTGCTCCTCTGGGGATGTTCTCCTTGGAGAGTGCTCTACGTGTCATCTTTCATGTGCTGTGCGAGCTTTCGTGTGACCCTGTGTTGGCATTCAACTTGCCCCCACCTGAACCATGGGTATGCTAGCACATAACCCTGGTGTTTCTCAGATGTTGTTTTCACCAGGTCACCAGCAGAGATCCACTGTGGTCATATCCCAGGTGTACGTTCATTGCGGAGCTGGACCCGCTGCGGTGCTATGGGGGCAACGTAGACTGTAACCTGGCCCAAATGCCTCCTGTGCATGCCTACAACGTCTACAGTTGCTGAAGCAAGACTGGTCTTGACTTCCAGAGCCTCATTTCCATCCAGATGTTCTGTTGGGGCTGAGTTTACCAAGCCAGTTGTGGGGTGTAACAACATGGTTTGTACAGATGAAAGGAGAGATCTCAGCTCTTCTTGCTTAGTGGCAGGGCCTTGGGGCTCAGCTGTGGTTTCAGCACCACCTATACATTGGGACCACCCACAGGCATGTGTTCTGAATGTGCCCCTGGAGCCCATGATTCTACCATGGTTAGGAGGAGACTGGGGAGGAGGAAACAGCTGTGGGGGTCGTGAGATCAGCCACCTAGGTGGGAGCCATTCCTAGTGCCTGGAGAGGCAAGGACAGGCAGAGGGGCAGAGAGGCTGCAAGGAGGTTTTTCCCTTCAAGCATCACTCAACAGTGCCGCTCTGCTTCTCTGGTGGTTCAGGCTTCCTCCACAAGCATCCCATTTGCAGAGCTCCTCCCTCCCTCCCGTCCCCTCAGGATGTCTCCTCATGGCCAACTCTCCGAACCCCACGTTCCAGCACCCAGGCCTTGTCTGCAGCGGAGGACACCCTCTCCGGCTGGGTGGGCAGGGCAGGGGTCAGTACCCTGCATACAGGTCTCACTCTCTCATGCACGCTCGTTGCCGTGTTCTCTTCCCACAGAGAACGAGGCTCCCCTTCTGTCCCACCTGAGCTCCCGTCAATGACGGGCTTCCCTGGATTTGGAGACTTCTCTCTTCAGATCCCCCCAGGGTTTTGAGGGTCCCATTCGGCTTCTTTTCCTCTTCCCTTTCCTCCATCACTCTCCTGTCCTACCTGGCTCAGCAGGAATCTTTTTTGTCCTTTCAGGTGTCCAAGTTCCTCTGCCCATGTTCGGCAGGGCTCTGTGAGAATTTTTCCACTTCAAGATGTATTCTTGATGCTTCTGTGGAGAGAGATGAACTCCACGTCTTCCGAATCCTCTGCCATCCTGACTCCTTCTATCTCGGTTTTAGGCTTAATCTAGCCAAGTGTATGCCAATTTTATGTAAATTGTAGACTATATTCCCCAACAATAGTAAGTAGAATAACTTATTTTTTTTGGTATCTTTCAGCTGTGTCTTCTCTCGACACCCAGGGTTTGAGGACCCAACAGCCAGGTTTAGAAGTTTTACTCCCAACAGCAAAGCTAGGAATATATGAAAGATTTCACCTTGCACATTTACATTTAACCAAAGACTGGAAATCTATGAGGCCATATAAAGAGCGGAGAGTATGTTATGATGAACACAACCAAGTTGGTTCAGTTTCCCATAAAGTAAACATTACCACCAAAAGAAATCAAGGATGTGAATCAAATAAGGAAAAACCAATTTCAGATGACCAATTTCACTCATCAACATCTGCAGTTAAGTGTATATTTGTCAGCAAAGATCCACATCATCTCTTGAAATGTACATGTTCTCTGAAGGGAAATATGGAAAATCTGGAAAGTCATCTAGTCTCTCCTGCAAATACTCCTTCAAACCTACACTCTGAGCATAGCTGTCTATTAAATATACATTCAAACATGTCTGGAAACCAGAAGCTTAAACATGAGGGGGAACATTCCAAATGCAGTCAATTTGAGGGATCCTTTAACGAGGGTTTCTTGTTCTTGAACCAGCAACTATTTTCTCCTTGTTCCAAAATCTGTAATGTTGATAATAATGAGAGAGACCTTATTCAACCATCATTGTTCAATACATATGGAGGTATAATTAGTGTGGAAGAACTTTCCAAGTGTAACAAAATGAGGAATGCCTTAAGCAGGAACTCTACCCCCAATAATTACAAGAGTATACATGATGGAATGAGAAGCTCTTCATGCAATGAAACTGGGCATAATGTGGACCAAGACTCATATCTCGTGAAACAACAGGGACATCAAGTTTCAGACAACAATTCTAAACATCATAAGTGTAGGAATATATTTTATCAAAGCTCAAATCTTACTATTCATACTTATAAGTGTATGGATATTGGAGAGAAGAGTTATGAATGTTATGATTATGGTAAAGTTGTTAACCAGTCTTCAAAACTTATTCAACAGCAGATGATTCAGAGTAAGCAGAAATATTGTAAGTATAATACATGTGGAAAAGTCTTTAGTAACTCACCAAATCGAAGTAGACATAGGAAAGTTCATACAGGAAGGAAACAATTCAAATGTCCAGCATGTGGCCAAACCTTTAATCAGAGTTCATATTTAACTGAACATCTGGGAATCCATGCTGGGGAGAATCCATACAAATTTACAGAATGTGACAAAGTGTTTATCTGCTGTTCATGTGTTACTCAACATCAGCAAATTCATACTAGGGAGAGACCTTATAAATGTACAGCATGTGGCAAGGCTTTTAAGCAAAGTTCAGCTTTAACTGAACATCAGCGAATCCATACTGGGGAGAGACCTTATAAATGTTCAGCATGTGGCAAGGCTTTTAAGCAGAGTTCAACTTTAACTGTACATCAGCGAATCCATAGTGGGAAGAGACCTTATAAATGTACAGCATGTGGCAAGGCTTTTAAGCGGAGTTCAAATTTAACTGAACATCAGCGAATCCATACTGGGGAGAGACCTTTTGAATGTACAGCATGTGGCAAGGCTTTTAAGCACAGTTCAACTTTAACTCAACATCAGCGAATCCATACTGGGGAAAGACCATATAAATGTACCGAATGTGGTAAAGCCTTTATCCGTTATTCGTTTCTTACTCAACATCAGCGAATCCATACTGGGGAGAGACCTTATAAGTGTACAGCATGTGGCAAGGCTTTTAAGCAGAGTTCAAATTTAACTCAACATCAGCGAATCCATACTGGGGAGAGGCGTTATAAATGTACAGCATGTGGCAAGGGTTTCAAGCAGCGTTCAGCTTTAACTGAACATGACCGAATCCATACCGGGGAGAGACCTTATAAATGTACAGCATGTGGCGAAGCCTTTTCCCAGAGTCTTTCTCGACATCAGAGAGTTCATGCGGCAGAGAAATGTGAGAAATGTAAGGAATGTGGCCAAGGATTTCCTCACAGCCATCACCTCACTCACAGTCAAAGAATTCATACTGCAGAGAAAGCCTAGAAATGAATCACTGATAAAAAAATTTCGTCCTAAATATACAACTTTGAAAAAACGAGTGTTTTCTTTCAAAAGATACATGAATGAAATTAAAAAATGTAGAAAACTCCTTAATCAAACATCAAACATAACTCAACAACAGAATTCATACTAGAAAGCATTTTATTCGTACCAGTTTTGTTGAATTACTCTAAGCAGAAACACTGTAGCATGTATTCCATGAGTAAAACACATACAAAATTGATTATGTTAGTATGGATCACAAGATGAAGGGGTGGATATTTGCAGATGTATAATTATTATTCATGTATCCTTGCTTATGTTAACATTATTTGAGGTTATTAAGGAACCAAAACAAATGTAATTCAACTCTCAAATTACTACATGCTGTGATTTGTTTCTACTGTATATATGAACTTATGTTTTTGATGGTTGTTGCCCAATGGTAAGAAGCCCTTCTATATTAAGTGGGAATCATTTACATTTATTCTCCAATTTGTAAGATTAAGAACACAGTCATGTTATATACACACTAAAGCTCTGAATGGAAGTATTTGTCACTGATGTCAAACACCTCTGTGGTCACAATGATGTAAGTGTTCAGGGAATAATTCAAAGTGAGATAGAAGTTTGCTCTAAGTTTTCAATAATTATGCCCGTTGCTTTTAAAGCATAAAACAAGGATAGTTCATGAAAATCTAAGGTATTTTTATAACAGCAACATAGAGAAATCATGCATATTATCTGGCAGGCTTGAACTAAGGAAACCTTCTATCTTATGTAAGTATAGAAAACTCTTTCTGGAAAAGTCATATTAATATAAATAATGTCCATCCATGTTTACTCAATTAACCTTTGTTTTGTAAGCCATATAAATCACATTCTCAGATCACTTCATCAGAGAAAGAGGAAAGTTTTTAGAAGCTTGTGATGTGTATTTTAATCAAGGATCAAGCAACAATTGTAAAACGTTTTATTCCATCTGTGTAAAATTAATGTGTTTTGATTAATAAAAGTGAATGGTTTTTCAGTGTTACAATTGTTGGAAAGAATGAAGGGTTAATGCACCACCAGCATTAACCTCTTCCACCTATTTAAGTTTGCAGGAAAGGTAACGTAATGATAAACTATTTGAAGCACAGGGGGATGGCATCTGTAGAAATTAGTTCCTTACTGGCGTTAAACCTCTCATAACTTCATATATTTCCCACCATTTCTATGTTGTATCTCCTCTCCGATTGTTATCTACTTGGACATCGTGGTGGTTCTAAGAAGAAGCACTGTAAGAAGCTCTGCATACAGAGCACTGTTGAGAGCTCCCCTGAGCTGCTCCATGCTGTTGCTGCCTCAGCGTCTGTCTGGGGAGAAGGCAGCCTGCAGGTCCTTGAACTCACACCAGCCGGTCCTGTGAGCACCTGCACTAGATGACCCCTTCCTTGGGACCAGCAGTCTTGCTGAACCCCAGGGTCTAATCCACAGGCCCCCCTTCAGTTATACCCTCTGAGCTCACCAGAATCCTGCTCGTCTTTGTTTGAATCGATCCCTCCACATTCAGCCTGTGGGACCCACAGCACTTCACCCAGGGTCAGGTCTGAACCTCAAGTATTGGAATTTTTTCTGACTGGTTCCAGCCTTGCCCTTCCTCTGGGGCCCTCAAGGCTTCCTGTGAATTTTCTGAGGACCTAGAATCATAAACTCACCCTTTTATCATGGCTTTGGCATACTTTGAATGCAATATATAAATATCTGAAGATATATACATACTATGATTTATATAACACACAATGAATACAAGATACAAATATCAGAAGGTATACATGTTAAAAAACAAAACAAAACAAATATCAGAAGGTATACATGTTAGCAGTGAGAAAACCAAGAAGGAATATGTGAGTGTATGTGTATTCTTACACATTTAACTTAGAGAATTAAGAAATGCTAGATCAAACTGGTCATTTCAGAATTGCAGATAATTTACTAAAAACTGTAAAGCTTGCCAATTTGTTGATTAATCTGTTTTGTCTAGTTTTCATGGAATTCATTTCCTTAAATGTCAGGAGGTTATGTTTTTTAAGGAACTTCCACACGCTCCACCCACGTGACTGCACCAGCTTACATTCCCTCCAGCCATGTAGGAGGTTCCCTGATCTCCAAGCCTCTTCAGCGTTTATGATATTCTTAGTGGGCTTTTTGCTCATTGTTATTCTGACTGGTATGCAATGATATATCCCTGTAGCTTTGTTCTGCATTTCTTATTGCTTAGCGGTGGTGAGCATCTTTCTTTTGCCTCCTGCCCATAGAAAAGAGCAAGCTATCCGCCCAGCCTCAGCAGCTGTGGGGCACAGGCTTAGTCTCCCCACAGCATGTGGAGTATTCCTGGGCCAGGGATGAAGCCCTTGTCCCCTGCAGTGTCAGATGGATTCTCGACCACCGGGTGCCCAGTCTGTTTAGCTTTTTTTCCTTTTGAGACATATATATATATATATAGGAATATAATTGCTTTACAATGTTGTGATAGTTTGTGCTGTATGACATCATCAATCAGCCATAAGTATACATAAATCTCCTTCCTTGCCCTCCCTCCCGTGGTCTCCGTTTCACCCCTCTGCTCAGCACAGTGCACCAAGCTGAGCTCCCTGTGGTAAACAGCAGCTTCCCACCAGCTACCTATTTTAACCATCAGTTCAGTTCAGTTGCTCAGTCGTGTCTGATTCTTTGCAACCCCATGGAGTGCTGCTCACCAGGTCTCCCTGTCCGTCACCAGCAAGCTCCTGGAGCTTGCTCAAACTCATGTCCATTGAGTCAGTGATGCCATCCAACCACCTCATCCTCTGTCGTCCCCTTCTCCTCCCCCTTTCAATCTTTCCCAGCGTCAGGGTCTCTTCAAATGAGTCAGTTCTTCACATCACATGGCCAAAGTATTGAAGTTTCAGATTCAACATCAGTCCTTCCAATGAATATCAGGACTGATTTCTTTTAGGACGGACTGGTTGGATCTCTTTGCAGTCCAAGGGACTCTCAGGAGTCTTCTCCAACGTTTTACCCATGGTGGTGTATATACGTCAATGGTACTCTTTCACTTGGTCCCCCTCTTCTTCTCCTGCTGTCCATGTCTCATCTCTATATTTGTGCAAATATTGTCTTAACAGATATGTATGGAATTTAAAAAATATATTGATGAACTTATTTACTGAGCAGGAATATAGGTGCAGAGGTAGTTCTTAACCTTTTGCATGTTAAGCTTTCAAAGTATAAAATACATTGACAATCATTCCATGCATTTTACAGTTGTCGACATGTGTTTTGGGAAACAAACTGACTCAGAAGAACAATGCAGATAGTGCAGTTCAATTTATTTCACGGGCGGGGCCAAGGCAGAGTCTCGTCTTAGCCAAGGACCCCAACAGTTTTTGTGATAACTATATACCCTAAGTGTACTTGCTCAAACCCACCTCCCCAAATTCCTTGAAACTAGTCAGGACAAGGTAAAAGAGAGGTACGATCAAAGTTAACCCATGATTCATGTGTCTCAGGACCAAATAAACAGTGGATATTTATCAACAGGCCTGTGGTCATATCCCAGTAAACAGAATGGAATTTACCACTTTGTTCTGTTAGAGAGATAATTAACATATTCTTTTAGGTAACAGAATCCAAGTACAAGTCCTGAGGCTCTTTTATGGGGGGGCAGGGTGGGATCTGATTTTCCATTGGTTTGCCACTTCTATAGACACCGGGGTGCAAAGTTCAGAGTCCACAGGGAGGGTGACCATGCGTGTAGCCTGATGCTCGCAGCCTGGCCTAAGACGGAGTCCAGCTTTGTCTGTTTCCTCCTTCATTACTAAGTGAAAGAAGCCCATTTGAAAATGCTACAAAAAGTAGGATTTTTACAATACGACTTTTTGGTGTAGGTAAATGTTCATATGTGTGCTCAGTTGTGTCTGAGTATTTATGATCCCAGGGGCTGTAGCCTGCCAGGCTCACCTCTGTCCATAGATTTCCCAGGAAAGCCTACTGGAGTGGGTTGACATCTCTTCCTTCAGGGGATCTTCCTGACCCAAGGATCAACCCGCATCTTGTGGATGTACTGCATCGGCAGGCAAATTCCTTTCCACTCAGTCACCTGGGAATCTAGTAAGAAATATAGAAGAGATTAAAAAGGTCCATGATTACTGTGGGTTTCAAAGGAGGGACTATGAATATCCTAAGTCTAGAGAACTTTCAGGACAATGAAATAATTTGTGTTAAACTGTCATGATGGACACATGTTATTAAACATTTATCTAGAGGTATGGAGTGCACATTGCTAAAAGAGGAACACAGGGGTAAACTAGAGAGTTTATCTACTTACTGTCCATGTAGAATCATCAGTGGCAACAAATGCTCACTCTGGTGGGGAAAGCTAAGTAGGGAGATTGTCCACATGTGGGAACAAGAGGTATATGGGAAATGTCTATACTTTATTCTCAATTCTGCTGTGAAACTAAATCTTCTACAAAGTTGGTACTGGTGAATGCAGACTGAATATTTTTTAGAATACATAATATGAGAAAGATGAATATGCTTCTATCTTTTATTTTTCCTTGGTCATTATAGTTTAAAGATGTGGGAAAATAGAGCTCTCTAAATGGACCAGACAACGAACTGTAGCAGTTGATTCATAAAACCTAGAAAAACACACACAGGAAGTAGAGCAACAACATTCTCAGGTATTAATTCATGTGTGATGTAACTTACGAAAACACCGATCATTATTTCCTTGGTTAGTCATCAGAGAGCATTTAGGGCATCGTTTTCAGAGGCATTTGGCTCCGCCCACACGCACTGTGAACCTGGCGTGTCCTGCTCAGTTCA